TAATATGCTTGAAGTCAGTCAGTCATACGTAACGTAGATACTGGCGCGTGTGCACATCGGTTCAAATTGACACGCCATTTGCACAGGAAGATGTTGTTAGTGTAAATCCCAGAATAGTGGAGGCAGTAGGAATATTAGTGGTAGCAAAAAGGTCAGGTGTCAAATATATGATTTGAGGAAATATGGACTAGTCGGATAGGAAATTTAAACTTCGTAGTTGTAGCCTATTAATTTTAAAAGGTAGTTGGAAAATCTAAGTCAAGTGATATGCAGTTGTATTCATTCTTTGCCTTCCCCCTTCTATCTTGAGCTTAGTGCCATCTCATCCTTCAATAAGGTTTTTTCTGGATTATATTTTCTGATTATCCAAATATACTAACATTAGTCTTATTATTGCGATTCCTTTGCTTTCCATCTTTTTAATCCACTGTACTGATGTGAGCTAAGTTGGTTTACACCAGTACGTATGTCTTAGGCCATGTGTGGTCTATAATATTATTGCCATTATGTAATCTGTAATGTTTTATATCGTGTCACATGTGATTTCACGATCGTGTGTAACTTGTTTATTTGTACATACACAAACTTAAAACTGATTTGGTTTAGGGATTTAAAATATGAATATCTTTCTGACGTGGAAGATTTACGCACACTTATGGAGAATTCGGTTCAATGTACAATAAGTTTACTATGTCAAGAAAACGAGAAAAATAAGCTCGATCAAGAAATCCAATCGAAAGCTAACGAATCGTTATTAAATAATGATTGTTATAATATAACACTTCAATGGACACATAAACAAAATCAATATGATATTTCATCTCTTCATCCGTCTACAGTTCTATTATCACATATACTTCCATTTGCTTGTATTTCTTCATGTGTTCCACCAAAAGAAATCTATTGTACATATCAAGTACCTTCACTACAATCATCAGAACCGGATGATCCTTTTGATGATATGTATATATCTTTGACAGCACGTGAACGTCGTAAACGTGGTTTACCGAATGAACATCAATCAACTATTCTACCTAATAATGAACAACTGGAAGCAGAAATAGATGTTACGGAACAGGTAAAAATAATATTTTATATTAACTCAATTTACATTTGAAGCAGACAAATAAAAATGTGGGATCTTGCATAAAGTTACATCAAATTCAGTTATATCATAATTCGAAATGATAGTATAGAAAGACGAAATCCATATAATTGAAAAGATGGTAAACTTGCGATTATGAGCGTAAATGTAAAGGTTGATAGTGGTATAATGATTAAAGTACTCGCCTTTCGTCAGTCAGTCAGCTACAACGTAGAACCAGGCACATATGTGCATCGGTCCAGGTTGCCATACCTCATTAGCACAACAAGATGAACACCGGATTCATAGGAGTGGTTAGGTCAAAGGTTGCAATAAGGATATGGTATAGGAAGGAAGAATTAGTTAGTAGAAAGAAAGATATAAAGTCATTTTAATCTCTTAGTTTAAGAGAAGACAGGGAGTGTATACACCTACGCCATTGTGATCGATTCTGAGCCATGTCACCAAGAGTCTCCAACCATTGGTTACGATAGTCACGCGGACCCCAACCAAGTAGTCTGCATCTACCAACATGGCTCAGACTAGAAGTTAGTGACTTCAAGCACTGATGCCACGTTTTGGTTTGGCCGCCTCTAACAGCACCCAAGACCACTGTATTCATAATCAACTCGCCTTTCGACCATTAGGTCGTGAGTTAAAGTCCAGCTCCATCTACTTTGGTCTGAGCTATCAGACAGTATCATTAACCCACAATACAATCAGAGTGGCTCGAAGCTAAAATAAATCTATATGTAGTAAATAAGTTGAAATAAAAGAGAAGGAAGGTTAAGGATAAAGTGCCAATGTAATTTCTAACGTGTAAAACGTGGTTTTATTTCCGTTACTACGATTGATTTTTTCTATGTAATTTTGGATATCCAAACATCAATATGTTATCTAATTAGAACAACATCACCCATTATATTTAGACCATTCTACACGTTTCAAAAGATGCCATATCGTACTAGAGTTCTATAATTTTAAAACTAGTCCCATCTCTTCAGTATTATCAATATATTATAGTGGTAATTATAAATAAACAGAAATATAACAAAAAAATAAACCTGGTATGTGATTCTCGAGATTCAAGAAGATTATAATAAACAATTTAAATGAAGGGTTAGTTTCGTAATATTATATCTTTATTGTAAATCTATGAAATCAGGAAGTAGACAATTAAAACTTATTTTTGCATAAAGCCACTTAATAACATCCCTCCATTAAACATCTAAATACAAATGCGAACTTTCAATTATAGAATGTCAATCAACAAAGATTACTGTGTGGATCTGTAGCCATAACTGTTAAGAATTCAATAAATTGAATGGGCTTTGGATCCATAATTTTGTAGACCATTGAACATTAGCTCCTGACCTGACATCAGTTAATGATGAATTTTATCCAAACCAACTTTTCCTATTGAAATTATTAACTGTCAAGTAGTTTTACTTACTGATATGTTTCACATAGTTTTTTTACAAAGTTAATCAATCGAGCTTGTATTTAATAGTTTGAGCATTTTCACCATATTTTCTCTATAGGTGGCTCCAGTAGACAAACCCCTTCCACAAAAACCTAACTCCTTTGAATCCCTTCCAGAGGCAGTTTGGTGGAGTATCAGTCAGTGTGCAAACTTAATTGGTTCTCAAGTAGGGTCAGAAGTTATTGTTCAAACCTCTGGGCTTGCACCCGGAAAGCCTTCTCAAAGTTCAAGCTCCGTAAGTGACGAACTACGTCGACGTTTGTTGGGATGTATTATTCTTACTGGTGGAGGGGTAGCTGGTGTTAATAATCAAATAATGGAAAGATGGTTGACTGAGCAGCTAATTGTAATAGCACGGGAAAAACAAGCAGCAACAACCGTATCAAGCCACATACCAACAGTTGAAATCATTCATCACTCTGAACCTGGAGACCTCTCTTGGTCTGGTGCTAGGTTGCTACTGACTTCTGACTTGATGAATGACTTGTGGATCACACCAGTCGAATGGAACAAATTTGGTTCGAGAGCTCTTCGTGAAAAAGCACCCTTCCCTTGGTGATTTAAACTATAAATTGTAGATTTATGAACGCATCTGTGAAATTTCTCATTCATGTTATCAAATGCATTTATCCCAGTTATTTCTAGTTTGTTCTTTGCGTACCTGTCGAAAAGAAAATACAACTTGCCCAAGGAAATTACGTGTACTAACGTTCATCTTCATTTATATAAAGAGCCAATCCTCATCCTTATATGATATCAAGCCGTATACTGCCTAATATCCATATAGCCTAAAGTAGTATTGGTAGTCTACGAGAACACAAAGGTACTGCGTTCAGGAAGAAATCTATTAGTCGTGAAGTCATTATTTGAGGGGTCGCTTGGATCTGCAAAAGAAAATTGTCTGTGGGAATTCCGTAGTCACCTGTCATCGAAGTAAATCCTGTAAAGGATATCCCTCCCGTTTGATAAATTTCTAACGAGCTCATTCGCTTAGATATTGATTAGTGCGAATGAAGTATTGCAGTCCAACGAACACCCGGATAATACGAGTTACCGTTCTGTCTGTACTTATTGCAAATGTGGGGAGTGGATAACTCGACTTCTCCCATTATATAGTTCTTAATAAGTTGGTAACTAGCAACTCTAAAACATCAGTAAGTAGTGTTCATCAAAGACCGTCTATTACAATGATGTATTTTAGAGTAGATAACTGGTTTATGAGGCGTCCGATCATCACTCACTTGATGAAGTCACTGAATAAACATTAGTAGGGCTATAACCAAAGAGCCTATCAGAAAAGTCAGTGAGAAACCCCAGGAGACTGGTCCTCATACGCTATAACTCAGTTATACTCTAATATTGCGCTCGCCTACTTGCACTTCACCTTGGGTATTGAATACGCGCTTTAGAAATAAGGCAACTATTTTCAAAATACCGGAGTGTTCAGTCGCACAGACACGGAAAACTGACACAAATCAGTCAGCTCATCCGCAGACAACACACTTGTTTAAATCAATAAGAAGAAAAGCAGTTCAGTCGACGCAGGTTGTGGTTGGAAACACATGCAAGGATGTGTTTGATGACCACTACACCGAAGACTTGCAATACAACTGATTAACATTTGGGATAAAAACGACTATTGACAGGATTGCAACTCACCTAAATTACGCAAGTTATGACGGATTTACAGAAACATGTGGTTTCATTTATGGCCTTTTCAGATGCAAATGATGTAGTTGCAATTTACAAGTTAAAATGAATACAGACAGTGATCGAATTGATGGAAAGTGAGACCAAACTAACATAAAGTAAATACAAATAACAAAAAATCACGAAACCCCAGGCAACAAGCGATAAAGATAAACTGAAGTGTTGTAAAATAGGAATTAATTCAGAAACAGAAAACTTGAGTACAGTTGTTCTCCATAACGTCATCCTCCAGCATAATGTCAGTCATCTGCAACGTAGGACCATGCGCGTATATGCATCAATTCAAGTCGCCATACCCCACTAGCACGACAGGCTAAAGACCAAATTCATAGAAGCAGTTGCTCCAATGGTATAAATCTACAACTACTGTACCACAATAACCAAGACAAGCTACCTTTGTATTATGCCAGGTGCTATGTTGTTTTTAACCGATGGGACTAGTCACCACTATGTTATGAATGTTGGTTACAGCTTAAATATTTAAAATGCGTCGACCAGTATAGTTAAAACGTTGTGCAAGAAGTGTGGGTTAACTTTAGTCAACAGAGGTTATGCAACGACCTACTGCTTAAAAGAAGTTTAGTCTCATGAGGAATAATAAGACAGATTTAAGCTCAACCGGATGTCCGTAAGGTAATATTGTTACCCGTGTAGTCAAACTTTATTCCTAACCACTCACGTTCCAAAACAGCCAGACTCGAGAAAAATCAGTATAAGAAAACTAACACGATAAATTATATTATATATATTAAAGTCACGTAAAAGCTGCAGAAAAAATGAATATTCATATTATGTATAATATGGAGAAGGACAAGTCACACAAATATAAATAATAATACACATGACTATTAAGCACATGCGCATAAAAACAAATTAAAGAAATGCAAACTAATGTGCGTATATCTAAAAAAAAACAAACTAAGTTACATAAAAAATAAAACAATTATTATATAAAACGGTCCAGCCTAATTGGATGTCCATAAGAGGGAGATAAAATAGGACATTTGTAAGTAAAACGAATAATAAACACCAGTAGCCTCCATCACAATAAATGCCATACAACATTTCTGAGATCATAGAAAACGCATTAAGATGCGACCGACGAATCCCCATTCGTATCTTCTTTTACATCATCTTCAGCTTTTTCTTCTGGTTGGTCAGAATTGTTTCCATTCTCAGACACTCCGTTAGTTAGCTTTTGATTGGACATTTTGTTTGCCAACTCAGTAATAATATCACAAAATCGCGTACAATGCTGTTCAGGTATGGTGACTGAGGAACGAATGTTAGCACGAACTTCGGATATACGCAGAAATACACCAAATCTATTAGAACCAACATCGAAATAAAATGTCTTGTTGCCTACGAAGAGTACTTTAGATTCAGGTAAGTCTGAAAATATATCTGTAAGAAAAAAAGGCAGTTTATGATATTAAATTTCTTGAATTCATATTGCTTAAATGGTGGATATTTAGCATTAATAAAACAAGAGATGTACTACTATCCTTGATAGTGAAAGTGGTATATAAAAATTGTCTTTTAAAACTATACAATAATAAACTGCCATTCTCATTACTAAGTAGTATGGAAACGAGCCTCATATTTAGCAGGAATGTGGTGTGCAATAACAAACACACTAGATAGACGACCATTACGAACATAAAAGAAAAACCTGAACTGATAATAACTACTTTAATTAAAAAGGAACCCTATATTAACAAAAATGGCGTGGATATCATTTAGCATTTTGGTAGGGAACTTGAGCGATACGATGTTGTCCAACAACGAAAAAATCATTGAAAATGAGCCGCAAACTATGTGCCAAGACTAACGACAGTCAGTCAGTTACAACGTAGGACCAGGCACATACATGCATCGATCCAAGTTACCTCATTAGCACAGCAAGACGAACACCGGATCCATAGAAGTAGCTAATTCAATGGTAGTAGTATATAAAAGAAAGATTGCATATAGTACAGGAAGAATGAATTAGTTCGTAGAAAGAAAGATATAAAGCAATTTTAATATCTTAGTTTAAGGGAAGACAGAGAGCGTATAAACCGACGCCAGTGTGATCGATTCTGAGCCATGTCACCCACAGTCCCCAGCCATTGGTTACGATAGTCACACGGACCCAAAACAAGTAGTCTGCATCTACCAACATGCCTAAGACTAGAAGTTAGTGACTTCAAGCACTGATGCCACGTTTTTATTTGGCCGCTCCTAACTTTCTTCCAGCCATTCCCAAGACTAGTCAACATTGCGCGTCGTGGTAACCGGTGTTCAGGCATACGTAATACGTGGCCCAACCATCTTAGTCGATGAAGATTCACAACATCATCAACTGATTTACCATCATTCCATAATACAATGCGTCTGACCCCACTATTACTTACCCGGTGATCCCAGTAGATGCGAGCAATATTACTAAGGAATCTGTGGCCAAATACTAGTAGCTTACGAGTATCTTCTACTCTTAGCGGCCACGTTTCGCAGCCGTAAAGTAGAACAGAACGAACTTTTAGTGATAGACGGATATCTCACCTTCGCCATAGGTGACCTATATTGGCAAAAGCCAAACGAGCTTTTTGAAACCGTGCTGAGATTTCGTCAAACACCAACCCATTACGGGTGATCAGACTTCCAAGTGAAGTTTTCAAAGCGTTCGACTACTTCACTCCTTATCCTTAGTTCATGTGTTGACGCAGGCCAGCCCTGAAGCAACAACTTATATTTAGAGGGGGAGAAGCGCATTCCAAACATCCTGGCATTGTTGCTCAGTGCCATCAAAAGTCTCTGTGTTTTATCAGCGTCTTCACCAAACAGGACTATATCATCTGCGTATTCTAAGTCGATAAGTGGACCTCCAGGTAGGAGATAAGATTAACGACACTGAATGGTTGTTCAGACTGTCGAAATTCAAGTCGCCGAACTGTTCACTTTACACAAAAAATGTTTGTTATGTTAGCTGATTACTTCCAGTGAAATAAAGTTGTCTAGAACTGTCCAAATTTTCAAAGTCGTTGAGGCTGAGTTAAAACAAACAATTCCACTTTTTCTCCAAGTTATAGGATTATTACTACTGAATTTAAAACGTCGAATTTCTTGGTGAGATTCTATATCCATAAAATCCACAGAAAACGCATTTTATTGTAAAAGCAAGTCAGTCAGTCAGTCAGCTACAACGTAGGACCAGGCACATATGTGCATCGGTCCAGGTTGCCATACCTCATTAGCACAGCAAGATGAACAGCGGATTCATAGGAGTGGTTAGGTCAAAGGTTGCAATAAGGATATAGTATAGGAAGAAAGAATTAGTTCGTAGAGAGAAAGATATGAAGTGATTTTAGTCTCTTAGTTTAAGGGAAGACAGGGAGTGTATACACCGACGCCATTGTCATCAATTCTGAGCCATGTCACCAAGAGTCTCCAACCATTGATTACGATAGTCACGCGGACCCCAACCAAGTAATCTGCATCTACCAACATGGCTCAGACTAGAAGTTAGTGACTTCAGGCACTGATGCCACGTTTTGGTTTGGCCGCCCCTAACTTTCTTCCAACCATCATCTATCCCGGTTAGCATTGCACGTCGTGGTAATCGGTGTTCAGGCATACGTAACACGTGGCCCAACCATCTCAGTCGATGAAGATTCACAACATCATCAACTGATTTACCATCATTCCCTAATACCCTGCGTCTAATCTCACTATTACTTACCCTGTGATCCCAGCAGATGCCAGCAATATTTCTAAGGCATCTGTGGTCAAATACTAGTAGCTTACGGGTGTCTTCTACTCTCAATGGCCATGTTTCGCTGCCGTAAATTAAAACAGAACGAACTGCTGCGCAGTATACTCGTCCTTTTATTGATAGACGGATATCTCGCCTTCGCCAAAGGTGACGTAAGTTGGCAAAAGCCAAACGAGCTTTTCGAATCCGTGCTGAGATTTCGTCAAACACCAACCCATTACGGGTGATCAGACTTCCAAGATAAGTGAAGTTGTCAACGCGTTCAACTACTTCACTCCCTATCCTTAGTTCAGGTGTTGACGCAGACCAGTCCTGAAGCAACAACTTGCATTTCGAGGGAGAGAAGCGCATTCCAAACATCCTGGCATTGTTGCTCAGTGCTACCAGAAGACTCTGCATTTTGTCAGCGTCTTCACCAAACAGGACTATGTCATCTGCGTATTCTAAGTCGATAAGTGGACCTCCTGGAAGGAGATCAATACCCGAGAATTCAGTCGACGAGAGTGTTATTTCCATCGATAGGTCTATGATGAAGTTAAACAAAAATGGAGAAAGTGGACAGCCTTGACGGACACCACTTGAGGTTGCAAAAGTAGATGACAGTTCGCCATAAGCTCTGACTCGACTAGTAGTGTTCGAGTAAAGAGCCTTCACAAGGTTTATGTACTTCTGAGGTACGCCTTTCAATGACAGACACTGCCACAGAACCTATCGGTCTACAGAGTCGAATGCTGCTTTTAAGTCAAGAAAGACCACCATCGTCGGACGCCGATAGGTATGTCTGTGTTCTAGAACCTGACGAATGGTGAATATGTGGTCGATGCAGCCACGACCAGGTCTAAAGCCAGCTTGGTTCTCTCGTGTTTGCAGTTCACGAGTCTTAGTTAGGCGTCTGATAATTATCGAGGCTAGTATTTTAGATATTATATTAGTTAAACTAATCCCTCTGTGGTTGTCACAGGATGATTTTGACCCTTTCTTATATATTGGGACGATAAGTGATTGCGACCAGTCAGATGGGATAAAGTCTAATTCCCAGATCTTAGCTAAAATATTAGTCAACTTAATCGCTAAAATTGGACCACCATCTTTAAAGACCTCTGGAGCCAATCCATCTGGACCAGCTGCCTTTCCTCGTTTCAGATTAACTATAGCCTTTTGAACTTTAGCAAGAGTCGGGGGACCTACTTCAATGTTCCATTCACATTGTCTGGGAATGGATGGTAGTTGTAGAGTAGCTGAAGGCCAGCTGAACTGTTCTCTAAAATGTTCCGCCCATCGTTCTAAACGTCTGGACTGGGAGCAGATGAGAGTATCATCTTTTCCCGAAATAATCTCACTTACACTTGACTTATTAATTCCAGTTTCTTTTATTAGTCTGTAAAGCTGTCTTGTGTTCCCTATAGTCGCCGCCTTTTCCATCTCTTTTGCTTTCATTGGCCACCACTGCTCACGGTCGTTTCTTAGACTTTTTCATAACCTAGATCTGATTTTTTGTCGCTCTTCATCATGTTCGGAACCTGATGGGACGAGTTTGCGAGAATCCATCAGTGTGATAGACTTTGAAGAAATCCACTGGTTCTTTGTAACTCTGTGGTTTAAGTCGCTAATAGATGTCACTGCTGTTTCCACAGCTGATTGTATGCCCTTCCAAGCAACATCTGGGTCAGCCTCGTCTTCACAACTACCTAAGTGTGACCTCAGCTGTTCCTGGAACCTACTTTTGGTTTTCTCGTTACTCAACTCAGTTCTAACGGGTCTTTTTAATGTGGCTTTTTGCGTCCAGTGAGGCCCAAGCAGATGCGTGCCCGTATTAGGGCGTGGTCGGAGTCCAAGCAGGTACTCCAGAATGAGCGACAATCTTCTACCGACCCTCTCCAACGATGACTGATGGCAATATGGTCTATTTGAGTCCATCGTTGGTTTGGTGTAGGGGGTCGCCATGTTAGACGATGTCTCTCCTTATGCTTAAAATTTGTGTTTGCTAAAAATAAACGATTGTCTGAGCATAGCTGCAGCAGACGATCACCATTATCTGTTCGCTGTGTCGGAATACTAAAATATCCACCTAAATGCCTTTCTGTTTGGTTTAAGCTACCTATCTGAGCATTAAAGTCACCCCCTACGAGTACTATGTCTGAGCGTTTAGCTTTCTGAAGAAGTTCAGAAAGCTTTCTGTAAAATCCATCTTTCACATCATCTGAGCCGCAGTCAGTGGGAGCGTAGGCAGAAACGACGAAAAGGCAACGACGCGTGTCCCTATCCTTCCGAGTTCTTACGGAGCCGTTTAGCCGAACAGCACATAGACGACTGTTGACGGGGATCCACTCTAGCAGTGCTTGTTCCGCCCTCATGCTTAGTGCTATGCCTACACCTGCCAGTCCACGAGAACTGGCCATCGGGTCACCAGATACATGAAGGGTGTATCTCGTTGGCTCTTCGTTTTGCCGAGGTGAGGTCAAGTGAATGACCACACTGGGATCCTGTATGCGTGTTTCAGAGACACAGCATACATCAATGGAAAGAGACTCTAGGGTTTTAGCCAAGGAAGCCTGCTGACCGATTTGACATAGAGTGCGTACGTTGAAAGCTCCAATGTGTAGTTTGGAGCGAGGTTTCAGTAGACCTGGGACAGAGTTTTGAGCACTAGAATCGTTGGCTATGGTGACACTTGAGGAGGAAGCCGAAGGAGGAAGTTTAGGGTTGAAAGTCGATGTAGGAGGAATAATAGGAATTGAAGAGGAAGGTTGATTATGAATACAGTGGTCTTGAGTGCTGTTAGAGGTATGAGGGCGGTTATCACTTCCCGGTTGCCCACACCGTGGAAGGGTTCTTCTGGAGGTACCTGAAAAGGAATTTGGATTAAAGGTGGTCTTAGTGACCTGAGAGCGTGACCGCAGAGCCCAAGGGACAACTGCTTGAGGTCGGTTACACACGACCTTGTTATGAGTAATTTTTGTGTTAGCTCCGTACTTATTGAGACCTTACCGCCGGAGACGGATATCCGTGGGATAAGGTGAGGTGTGCATTTTTAGGGTCGACCTTTTCTAACCCCACCCCTCCTTGTGGGAAGGCAGCATCGCTGTCATGCTGGTTGTCTGAAGGAAACACCTTACTGCTGTCACACCTCTGTACAGTCGGCAGTACGACTTCGCCTTCGGACCTTGGGTTTTCTGCTTTTAGTCTTACCGCTCTTCAACCGACCTGTCTGACATGGTAGGACCTTGAGGAACGGTTGTTCCAGCCAGTATAGCTCGGCTGCTTCATCACGATAGGCAAGCCCGACCACCACGTCAAGGTAGCAAAGCGTTTACAGAGCCAGAAGTGGGTATACTTGTAACAGGTGATAATGAAGATTGCTGTCGTTATTAACAATCTGATTACACGGTTGTGGATCGCAATTCATTCAAATAATCCAGTCAGTCATGCGCAACGTACAACCCGTGTGTACGTCGGTTCAAGTTATCATATCCCATTAGCACAGATATGAAGTTATTAGGCCAAATCACATAGTAGAAATATAGTCACAGGATTGTTTATTTATCTATGTATGTTAACACATAGATATTGGTACAAGGAGGCACCAAATACATATGCGCCACACAAATCTCATTCGATATGTGTGAGGGCTGTGATACTGTCCGGGTGCCCAAACCGAAGCAGGTGGTTTTCTTAGGGGGTCACACCTGGAACCTTCGACCTGAAGGTCTAACCCGCAATGCAGTGGAGCATCGTAAGGAGATGCAGTCCCATAGTAGCCGTTGACCAACGATTGATTCATACGCCATTTGTTCCTTCAGAATACTGGAACCCGTGTGCATTATTGGTTTGAAATCAGGGTTTTCCAACTCCCTTAGGTGGACTCTCCACGTCCACCAACCCGGTTAAAGCGTCGGACATTCGCTTTTCGTCCTCTCAACTTCGTAAGCAATACTCTTGCCACGAGAAGGCAGTGAGTAGGACTTCCCTGGCAGAGGCTATATACGCGTGGCCATGTGAGAGCATTTCAAGAGGGAGAACTGATTCTCCCCACTCTCGGCCGTACCAGGGTATTTGGGGGCCACATGATTGTTAGTGTGTAGCAGAACGTAGCATCAAAGTTGCAGCAATTTTTAGAGTGGAGAGTTTTAGTGGATTGAAAGCACGGCGTTAGGATAAAACGTGAAGGCCAAACAAGAAGACGGCTCGGACTGCAGAACACACCGAAAGATGGAAATGGAGAATTAAAGGATACGTATGTGTATATACTCTGTAATTTTTTACAATAAACATACATTCCTCATGCCTTTTGTTTCGTTTTACAGAGATAGTAACAGAATTAGTAGTAATAGGATTAGGCATCGAACATACGATTTCAGAAAATATTGACTAGTGGAATGAAAAAAATTAGTTAGGATCTAAGGGAAGATAAGGAGTGAATGTACCCGTGCTATTGAGAAAGACTTTGAGCTATGTTGTCCCGTCTCTAAACGCGGACCCCAACAAGATGGTCTGAACGTACCCATACAGCTTAGTCAAAAAGTCAGTGTCTTTATAGACTGATATCAGATAATTCAACTCTTGTGCAATAATAGACATGTCGTTTACGATAAAAAAATTGATATGAAAACATGGAAAAATGACGAAAAGATAGAGTAATTGAGAGCACTTTATAAGTGATATGATTTTCGCAAATCAGCACGGTAAACACACATAACATATGACAAAAAAAGCATAAAAATCAGGTTTTAGAAAAAAACCTTACCATTCTCCATATCTCCTGAATAGCCTTGTATAAGATCAGTCAATGCATTGCGCAATTCGATCATACCCTGAGCTGGAATTGCAATCTGAACACGAACGCCCATAGAAAGCATAGCGAGACGCAGGAAACGACCACGTTCATTTTCCTTGAGATCAAGATAATAGCGCCTGCTATCACGAACAATAATGTCAGACGCAATGCGCCCATCTTGTGCGAGTGACTCACGATTGTGAGATGGAAGTTGACTATATGTGTCACTAAGTTTGTTAATTCTTTCTTTCATTTCCAGAGCAACAGGCATTGACATCAAGATGCGCGATTTCTGTCCTCCATTGCCAACTTCAGTTATTTTCACGAAGCGACCTCTCTTATTTTGCTTGATATCTAGGTAGAATCGTTTATTTTGTATACGAAGAGCTTTGGAGGCCAACTCTTGTTCCTCTTGCTGCCCATCTGATATGTTACGTCGACTTAGTAATTGCAACTCACCTTTAAAGCTTTTCACAGCAACAGTTTCTGGCATTGCGCAAACTGGAACCTTCTCTAAGATACCGAACTACAACCAGCTCCTAACCAACCTCTACATTAAAATAGAAAGTGTTCATAATGAATGCTGAAAAGCTAATAAAGACGGGGGCATTTTAAACCAACTAATCTCAATCAGTAGAAACAGGTAGAGACAAATGCAGACCACTTTGGTGGTTATATTCACCTTGATATTGACAATTCGACTAATCACAGGCAGGGAACAATGCACAAAATAGGTTTAGTCTAGTTCTGCAAATTTGGATTAAAACATGTAAATGAATAGGATGTTGGTTACTCAGTTTAGCACTTTCTTTAATACTGAAGACAAATTATTAAAATTCAAAGGATACTGGAATACAGAAAAGACAAGGTTTTCATAATCGTAAGATATAGTTTACCTCTATTCTAAAATTAGCTTCATAACACATGACTCTAACCAGCTTCATGGATACATTTTTAAACATTTATGGTAAAAGTGTAGTATACTAACGACTTTGAATGAACCCACTAGGATTAAGTTGACGTCTCAATTATTTTTGAAGTGCAGCGATAGTTAGCGTGTTATTGTTAGGCAAGTAAAAATCGGCAATATTTTATTCATAAAACATTTGGGATCACTGAAAATATCTATTATATAACAATAAAGTGGCTTTCAGATGGTGCTTACGCTAAATTATGTGAAACACCTGCTTCTAAGGTAGACTGTGTGTTAAAGTGCATAATAAGATTCATGAATTATATTTGTCACTAAATCTTAACCCTAAGTATTTCAGGTTTGTAAACAGAAAGGCGGCAATGTACTGCATTATAGATGACATCAGTCCTTGTTGAAAACACTGATCCCAATTTATAAATCCAATTCAAAACTCCAGTTTACCTCTCAATACCCAACCCAAACACTTTGATTATAAATGTCAGTTAGCGACGAAAACTATGGGGTGATAACTAGCAACGCCAGCCTGACTATTAGTATGTATGTATATACGTAAACTCCTTTTTTCTCTTTGCTAAAAGCGATAATTTGACCCCAAATGCCCTGGTACGGTAGATGATGATTGTGTTACTACAGCTCGGAAATTAGGCATTGATCTTTGTACTAGACTTTAACTTGTAAAGAGGAAAAACGGATCCTGTGTAAAGAATGGCCCCTAAATGCCCTGGTACAGCCGGGAGTCCGCTCTCTTTCTCGAAATGCTCTCACATGGCCACGTACATACAACCACCGCCAGGGAAGTCCTACTCACTGCTTTTTCGCGGCGGGGGTGTTGTTTACGAAATTTAGAGGACGTAAAGCGGGTTGGTGGACACGGGGAGTTCACCTAGAGGAGCTAGAAAACCCTGATTCCAAACCAATGATGCGCATGAACTCCAGTATCATGAAGGAGCAAATGGCGAATGAGCTTATTGTTGGTTGCCGGTTACCATGGGACTGCATCACCGGACGTTACTTCACTGCCTTGTGGATCAGACCTTCAGGTCGAAGGCTACGAGTGTGCCCCATTAAGAAAACCACCTGCTTTAGTTTGGGCACCCGGATAGTATCTCAGCCCTCACACAAATCGAATAATTTACGTGTCACAAATCTATTTGGTGCTTCCTCGTACAAATGTTCCTGTGCCTAAATAAATAATAGATCATCACGACTAAAGCAGTAATTACGTTACTTTTTACTATTAATCATTTTATGACTAGGCAGCGTTTCCTCATTGGCTAGTAGGTCGCCCAAGGTCGTCGATATATCTTACTACTGCCACATATATAACGAGATATATTTGTCACATTAATTTCAATCCAACCGCAACTAAAGTATGTGCATTACAGGTGATTACATTTAAATGCCGAGCCATGCCTTGATCAGATCCATCAGTCTAGGTGATTAGTAATTTGATAGTGTAACAGAGTCAAAAAACCCTGACTCCAAACGAATGGTGAGCAAGGGTTTAGGATCCTGAGGGCACAAATGTCAAATGAGTCCATTCTTGGTCACCGACTACCGTGGGACCGCATTTTTTAACGTTGCTTTACTGTTAAGGATTAAGTCTCTCCGGCTGGCTTTTAAGAGAACGATCTGCTTCGTACCGGGCACCCAAGCAGTACTCCCGCTCACGTACACACTTTGGTAACCCTTTGCGCTCATGTTGGTTCAAATAAATATGATAGTACCAATTAGGTTCTTATAATACGCCACAATAACTACATCACACACGAATCAATTCAGAATGTCACTCTAAAACCATCCACATCAAGTAGTTTTATCACAAATTTATCAGTTCCACCTGTAATAATTAAAAATCTTGAGGTGGTTAGACGTTCTACTATTGATATATTGGATAGACACAATAAGGATATTGGATGCGCGAAGATGGGCCAGACTATACCTTAAAACACTAATCAATATGATCGCAGACTTCACACATCGCTGACAGACATATAAAGGACACACCTCAGAAATTGCTGTACTTACGCAAATACGCCAAGTAGATGGCTTATAGACGGCACTCAGCACTTTGAAAGCAGGATTAAGTGCTATCTGTCCCACTTTAGTTAGAAATCTGGGTAGGACCAAAGAACCCAAACCAAAAAAACGAGGCCAAAGGGCCAGGGACTCGAACCCAAAGTTGGCAACTGCATTGAGTAGAAACAAAATGGGTACATTTCCCCAAGCTTCTGTAAACGTGAGATATCCCAGCAAAGGCTTTTCCTATACATCTAATGGAACTTAAAATCAAACCGCACATGGTCAGATGATTTATACGATTTCAAGCCATACTCTCCCTTTGCCCTTCAATGCTGAACGCTTTACATATACAACGTTTTTTGTGTAGAGAACATGCCTGTATCCTAGATCATTCGGATGAACTAATGTAAACCAGATGACTTCATTGAGTCCGGCATCAAATTTCCCCAACGAATCCTAGAGGTCAATTTTACGTTGAGATAGTTCATCACATACGGAGCAGTAATATTCAATACTATTTGAGCGTTTACACAATATAATTTAGGAAATATTTACAAATATATACCTTCAGAACGAATTAGGCAGTTGACAGCCTAGGCGCTTTAAGCAATCCCCGTGTATTTAAACAAAGACAGTTGATTAAAACTACCTTCCCGAAAACATTGAAAAGTTAGCACGTGACTTACAAAGTTACCTTTTCTGTACGACTGCATTTTTCCGACAACGTTTCTTCTATTAATTAAACCAATTCATAAAGTAAGATGGACAATAATATCATGTTCACATGAAATTATATTCTAATTGGTATATATATATATTCATACTACATTTCGTCTCAGTTTTCCTTGCCTTTTTTCTCGATTATTCCGTGTACTTGTGGGAAGTGCTAATCTTGAAATCGTCAACAGGATTATACCCACTCCAAACTTATACGCGTCTGTGTTAAGGCCTGAACATCAGAATCCGAGTAATAAAAATAACACGACGTTTTGTCCGTTTCTTATGTGTCTCAAGTAAACTGTATCTATCCTATGTGACATTTCGTGGTATATGCGGCTAAGTAAACGAGTGGTTCGGCTAATGCTCCACTCGTAGTAATGAGTAAAAATCAGATTTCTCTCAACGTTTTGAATTTAGACTGTCTATGGTCGGAAATAATTTGCTTATCATCAATAAGACTGCCTACTTGTAAGCGAAGGTGCCATATATGTTACCCCTTCTCATAGTCTCCATCACATTGTAATTCAAAATATCTCCCCGAAATAAAGAGTGCTATGAACATTGAACATTAATGCTGGTTTTATTAGCATTATCGCACCTTACTATCTTAAAGTACCCAATCTCGTATCACGTCAATAACTATGCACCGGTCATGTTAGGTCCCACTCCTCCACTAGATAGCCGGCAAAACAGCCCCAACTCCATTTGCTTTCTACTCTATTTGAATCTGTTGTTTTCCCAACCCTCAGCTTTTACTTCCTCGGTCATCGAGATATCGTACTTTACTTATTCCGATGTAAACATCGTCTGGTTCACTGTTATATACAGCATCTCTCAGGCCAGTGAAATAAAGCCGAAACTTACGGGGAACTGCCACTTCAGCAATAAATTTGTCATGAGGTTGAAGACGAACCATTTAGCACCATCCAATCTTATCTAGTTTACGAGCCCGACTGGTTACAACAACTTATGAATATCAGATTTCAACTGACTGGCTACCAACTTGTAGCCAAACTTGTCGTCTAACTCATTGAGTACATCAAAATTTCCTGACCTTCAGTGTGTCATGCAACCATGTAGAGACTTAATCGAATGGCAAGTATGGAACTGAAACTCAAGCAAACTACAGTTGATGGCCAGTCGGTGTCTCACGTTTAGGTAAGTTTCTGAAGATCAAGTACCCTCTACCCCCCTCTCACGATATATTATATTTGAAACCAGAGATTCGTATTAGCCATATGTCTTAATTTTTAAGTAATCACAAATGATTGACTGTAATAATAAATATGTAGACGAATAATGTAATTCGCTTTACGCGTTAGATTATTTAAAAGGATAGGAAAGGTGAAGTCTACGAAGTTAAATCCACATAATATTGTTTGATTTCTTCTGACTAAAGATAGATCTATGCATATTTCATTAGTTGAAAAGCGTTACAAGTAAACTAGAATATATCCATTGTTTTACATGTTCCTGTTATTTTTGAAGTTTCTACTATAAATCTTCTGTCGCCATTGCTTCACTGACGACTAATACATTATTCGGAATATAATCTATGCAACCTTTCTGCCAACCTCAGGATCCAAAGATGAGCAAGCGGTCACGGACAATAACTTCAGTAACAGTATTCTCAAGCAATAATCGCTTGCAGAGAAAAGTTGTTTCCCGAAGTTGAGAGTTACATGGGATAAGCGAGACATATAAAATAGTCGCTAAGTTTTGTCATGAACGGATTAAGCTATAACGAATGTATATGGTCAGGAAGACGGGGTTATGACATGAAAGAACTCAATGAACGATTTCAACTCTACAGTTGCATTTACGGTCTTATTTTTGGATCATTTAATTTTATGACTTGTAGCATTAGACCCAGAACTTGGTATGGAGTAGCAACGAAAGATCAATACTACAAAGATCACAGGAAGAATTGAGCTCAAAAAAGCGGATTGACTTAATCAGCTTGGCGTTGATGATTACTGACAATAATTATTGTTCTCCAGGCGTATATATTTAATAAAGCTGAAAGAGACTTTACAAACCTTTACTATCGTTCACTCACTTTGCTGTTAGCTAACTGAACTCCCTTGACCGAAGTTCAGGATTGACATATTCTACTTCATTGCGGAGGTAATTATTTAATGTAAATCGAATCGAAGGTTTTGGTTGGCAGGACCTTTCTCAAGGACAATTTTTGTCTATAACCGTATTGACAACCTTGTTCGAAACACAAATCACCGAATTATCGAAAATTTAGTAACCAGTTAATGTTAAAATTAGCCATCACTGACTTATGAAACTTGAAGCAATTCTTGAAAAATCTAAAGGACTGCTCAAGACTGCTGCTCTTCTGCACAATGAAAGCCATAGAAGATAAGACCTATTTATCCAAACGAGGTTTTTTAACCTCTGTCTGACGTAAACGTTATGATAGTTACCTTTTCTTGGTTCATTTACGATTGTTTTTACATTATTCTATTCTCAATTCAGACATTTACGTCTCCCAATTTCTATGGACTTTTGTTATGTTTTCATTCTCTTACCATATATTACATCCAGATCTCTTTTGACCACACTTTGTATTCTTCAGTCTTCCGTGTCTGAGCTTTTATTATGTGATTTTGACTGAAAACTTACCTTTTGTTGCCTAGTTTTCTATTGCATGTTGCCGGACTATCAACAGTAATGTCGTGTTAGACTAAGCTCAGGGTCGCGGCGTGGTTCAGTGTGTGACTATTAACCTTTGACTGTCTGCTTGAGAGGTTTGCTGGAATCCCTGCAGATATCTGATCCAATATTGTTGAAAATTTGCTATTGATTCTCAGGTACTTAACTCTTTTATGTAAGCTATTTATTTTTTGTTTAGCACGCTAATTTGTGTTGAAGAAACTGTTGACTGTATAGCACAGGCTGTACCGTTTGTGGTATTTTGTATTTTGCTATAACTGGTTCTATTTCCTAAATTAGAACCGCTTAAATTGAGCACAGAGTTTGTGTTTTGATGTTATTTAATACGAGTAACTCAGAATGCTTCGTACGCTTTACAGAAGAACGTAGTCTGGTCTAATCGAATAAATTTTGGTTTGTTATTTCCGCGTTCAAACCGAATATTGGCAGTTCGGTTGTTACAAATAAGATGGCATGGCTCAGCCTTTCAGGCGTTGTCATTATTGTGTAACCTATCTCTTTTACCCATACTAACTATATTGTTCAATATCCAGCCTAAATCTGTCCTCCATCATATACTGGTGATGATTACGATGGGACGGGTCAGTGTAGGCGATAATGTGAATTCCGCGTAAGATCTTATAGATTAGGTGGTCACATCACGACAAATCTACAATTCTAGGATTAGGTCTATTATTAGAGTAGTACCAATAACGAAGTAGACCATAGTCATACAATATGTTTTCTCTATTTTGATGCAGGACTGTACTACACTATATGTATGTAGTTAGCTTGTATGCTGAGAAAGTCGCATAGAGTGATTTGTAATAAGGTCTTATGTAATTTTTATATATAGCAGAAGAGGCTTTCAATATGAAATTCGGCGTAGATCAGTACTCGTATGGATGTCGTTCTGAGGTTCGCACACGTCTACGAACCTATTTCAATATTTACATGTGTTTCGGAATTTATTCTACAGTTAATGCAAAAGTTTTGGAACTTGTGGATCGTGATTAAGTGAAAGACAAGAGCAGTCGGAAGTTATTGGTAATAAACTCTCTTTCCTATTAACTACGAAGAATTTTGAATTTTGCTTGTTATGGTTTACCTCTAAACTATCTACTTGACCTAATTTTCATATGTAAACGTTCTTAACAAGTATATGTGTGGTCAGATTATTCGAAATGTATTGCGCAAATATATAGACTTCATCTTCTCATTGCATTATCGTAACTTATTGTAATTGCGTAAATAATTAGGATGCTACGAAAGCAAATGTCTGACAATCATAATTGAACTGTTACTATTCACTTATTTCTCGAAGACACCACAGGTATTCAGAGTTTGACAACTCTTCAACCAGTAACACCTAATATGAAGCATATCCACCAAGTGAAATCAAAAGACAGAAGCGGGGAGGTTCGAAGATATATTTGATAGGCTATCAATATATCGAGGGTCATCTGATCTAATCTGGCTAACGATTGCACGACGTTCCAACTCGCGATCTGGTGCGGACGCATGACCGAGAGCCTTCAGCTTGGTGAGTCCATTAAAACTGATGTGGTCAGCATCCCATGTCTTTAACTTACGGAGCTATTTATTTTGGGGATTTATTTATCACTACAGATCACCCCCCCCCCTAGTGAGGGTAATAATGACCCTAAGACGTGGCCAGCCAGAAGTTTAAACCCAACGAGTTTGTCGTTGGTAAACACTCTTCTGATAGCTTTCTAGGTTTAGCAGCGTCTGATCGTCTTTCCTTTCTATATGGGACCGAGGTACAACATAGTAAATAAAGAAAAAGTACAGTGAAAGTTTCGGTTCGTCAGAAACTTCATCGTTTTTTCCAGCCGTCCTGGAAATGAAAAAAATATCTAAGTGCATGTCGAAATACACTCGTACGCGCGTAAAAACACAAAGCAGGCGAAAAATGGAAAATGAACTCATGCACACGTAATAGCGTACAAAAAGATTTTTATAATACGTTTTGTTTTTTTCAAATAAAAATATAAATATATAAGCATATTAAAATTGATTTTTTTCGAATTACACATATAACAAAGGAAAATCGAGACGGTATAAAATGTCCACTAGTATCTCACGTGCAATAATCGTTTAGATGTTTTGGAAATCTTACGCTTCTTCCAGAACGCGTGGTTTTAAGTTTATTTTCTGATACTGCCGAACTAACATCGTGTGTGTTGGCTGTCGGTGGAGGTATTATAAGAGTGGAAGTCGTGTCGTTC